ACGACGAACCACGTCACGATGGGCCTGGACAGCGGCGCGGAGGTCACGGTGTGGCCCCCAGAGCTCTTCCCGCAGGTGGCCACGGAGGAGAGTCCAGAATCTCGCAGGGGAGTCAAGTACTTCGGACCAGGAGACCGTGAGACCCCTAGCCTTCCCAATCTTGGGCGACGACGGTACGATTTGAGGATGGGAGGTTTGAGGACGAGCGCCAACGTGAACGTTGTGCCGGTGAGGAAGCCTCTGCTTGCGATGTGCTCGATGATGGACGCCGGCCACGACCTGCATTTCAAGCGCGGCGGCCGGTGCTACGCCAAGCACTGCAGGGCCAGGGAGGAGATCGAGATCACACGTCGAGGAGGTAAATTTGAGATCGATGCCGAGATTGCGCTGCCGCCGTCACCCCGTTTCGGGGGGCCGGCGTGTCCGTAAGTCCCCTGGAGTCCGGCTCAGGAGGGGCAGGCGGCAACAATGCCGCACCTGAGCCGAGTAGTAGCCCTATGGAGGAGGATGGGACGGACGAGCAGCAGGAGCAGCAGCAGCAGCACATCGAGCACGAGATCTTCGGGGCTCGGGGAGGCGGCGCACCGGCGATGATGGCGCCGAACCTCCCGACGCCGGAGGAGAGAGCGAGGCATGAGATCGATCACGTGCCCTACGCTGCTTGGCGCCGTAGTTGTGTGGCTGGCAAGGGAAAGGCGGATCCACACTTCCTGAAGACGTCGGAGTGGCTTGCGACGACTGCTTCATGGGTGACGCCGTCGAGAGCGACAAGGCAACCGACAAGTGCTTGCCAATCCTTGTCCACAAGTTCTACGGCGATCGCTGGGTATCGGCGCGCGTGGTCCCACGTCCCACGCAAGGTCCCAGAGACGCACGCTGTGAAGGCCACGGTGGACGACGCGACGCAGGCAGGCTTCGCCAAGTTCACGTGCAAGAGCGACGGGGAGCCTGCGATCAAGTCGCTCAAGCAGGAAGTGGTGAAGAAGCTACGGCAGGTTGCTGGCCCTGTGGACGTCATCATGGAAGAGAGCGGCACGTCCGAGTCACAGCAGAATGCTGTTGTCGAGCATGCTATCTGGGAGGTCCAGAGCACGGCTCGCGCCCTAGTGCACGCCTGCTTGGAACATCATCGCGTCCAGGTGCCGCTCAAGCACCCTCTGGGGATCTACGCCGTGGAGTACGCAGGGCAACTACTGAACAGGCCCCAGCGCGCCGCCAAGGACAACAGGACCGCCAACGAGATACGCAAGGGCAAGCCCCATCGCCGAAAGCTGCCTCCATTCGGGGAAGCCGTGATGCACGTGCCGCTATCGACGGTACGGCGGCGACGGAAGTTCGAGGACAGGTGGGAGACCGGCATCTACTTGGGGCTGGTGGAGCGCAGCAACATGTTGCTCGTAGGCACGCCCCACGGCGTCTTCAAGGTGAACTGCGTGAAGCGGTTGCCGGAGACCCAGTCCAGCGATCCGGAGCTCTTGAAATCCATCGCGGGGGTCCCCTGGGACCCAGTACCGGGAAAACCAGGAGGCCAAACCGTCGACTACGAGCCCCTCCGGGCGACTGAACCGATCGCCCCTGAGGCGCAGTTGCCCCCACGGGTTCCGAAACCAAGATCTCCGGAAGTCATTCCGAGAAGGTTCTACATTCGTCGTGAGTCTGAGCTTCGAGCGTACGGTTTCTCAGATAATTGCCCTGGATGTGCAGCGGCATTTGAAGGCCGACCAGCACGATTACACGCGCAGGAGTGCCGTAACAGGATCGAGGCGGCGATCCTGGCGGACGAGGGGTCCGAGGTTCGACAGCGAGTCGAGGAAGCTCATCGTAGACGGGGTGAGGCAGGAGCACCACCAGACAGACGACCAGGAGGAGCACAGGTTCTACGACCAGGTGAAGTCGCAGGAGAGGTGCCGACAGAAGCGGGTAGCCCCGCGCCGCCGGACCAGCCAGGGAGCGTGCCGGAAGCGGGTAGCACCGCGCCGGCCGACGCTCGGAGGCAGCCAGGGAGCGCGCCGGAAGCGGGTAGCACCGCGCCGGCAGACGCTCCGAGCCAGCCGGATTCGCCGGAAGCGGGTAGCACCGTGCCGGCTCGCAGTCCAGGCGAGGCTCAGGACCCCCCTCGAGCAGAAGCGGGTAGCACCGCACTGCGGAGAGGTGAGGTCAGAGCTGGGGACGACCCAGCAGGTGGTCCGCACGATCGGGCTGCCAAGAGGGCGCGGCGCGAGGTCGCGGAGATCGTGGGCGAGTTTATGCACCTAGGAGCGGTTATCGGGCCGCGGCTGCAGGAGGCGATCCGGCAGCCTATCAAGGACGACGTCGACGTGATCGAGTCGGAGGTGTTCTGCAGGAAGCGGTTCGCTGACCAGGCGTCCCGGTGGGGAATGCACCCCGGGGTCGCTTTAGATCTGACTACGGTTTGGGATCTTAAGAATCAGACGCACGTGGAGCAGGCGGAAGGCCTCCGGGGCATTGCCCGCCCGAAGCTGCTGATTGGGCGTGCGCATTTTCGAGACAGTCGCAACCTTTACCACAATCAGTTGCAAGACGGTCACTATTTCCTCCACGAGCACGTGAATGGCGCCGCCCCTGGCCACGAGCAGGGGGAGAGGGAGGAAGAGGAGGAGGATGATGGTAGCCATCTGCTGGGACATGAGAGCGTCCAGCATGTGAAGGCCGGAAGGGCCGCAGAATGGCTGACCAATTCCGGATGCATCGCCGAGGAACTCACGAAGCTCCAGGGCGGCGATCGCGAGAATGCCATCAGCAGCATAGTGACCATGAGTCCCACGGTGGAAGAGTAAGCCGGCCATAGTGGCGGCTGTGTTGAGAGGGCTGCGTAGACAGCTGCAGCAGGACGGCGCGGTCAGCATCAACGCCCTGGAGCCGGGCATTACCGGCCACGACACCCAGGAGTGGGACGAAGACGGGTTCGAGCAGTTCTTCGACGAACTGACGGGCGAACGGTTGAACTCCCGAGACGTCAGGGAAGCCAAAGTCAAGGAAATCGAGTTCATTCGTGTTTTCCCTGTCTATGAGAAGGTGCCAGAGGCGATGGCCAACGGCAAAGAGTTCATCTCGACAAGGTGGACCATAACTAACAAAGGGGACGTAAACGCACCAGACGTTCGAGCTAGATTCGTCGGGCGTGAGTTCAAGTGGAAGTCGCCGGCGATGGAGAACACATTCGCCGCGACTCCACCACTGGAGTCGTTGAAGTACTTGTTGCCTCGGTTCCAGTCGCGCAGGAGGGGGCCAGCCAGAAGCCCAGGAGAGCGTAAGATCTTAGTTTTGGACGCTTCTCGAGCGCATTTTCATCCGAAGTGCTGCCGGGAGCTGTACATCCGGCTGCCAGAAGAGGACGCTCAGGCAGGCTTCGTGGGCAGATTGTTGCGCACCCTGTACGGGACACGAGATGCAGCAAACGCCTGGGACGAATTCTTCAACGAAGTGATCGTCAGGCGCGAGCACGAGGTGGGGCTGTCATCACCTTGTCTGTACTACTGCGCTGCCGAGGACAGCGCTGGGTGGCGCCACGGAGACGATCTCGTTTTCGAGGGACCTGATGAGTGGTTAGACCGGCTTGAAGAGGGCCTCCGGAGCGTGATGATCCTCAAGAGACGCGCAAAGCTTGGCTGGGGCACAGCAGACGACAAGCACGTTACCATCCTGAACAGGCTGGCGGACTTGAACGACGCGTCCCGGGTGGTTTCTCTCGAACCTGACCCACGCCATGTTGACCTACTTCGTGGCCTGGATGGTTTCGACGGCCGGTCGAAATCCGTGACGACACCTGCCGACAAGCGGTTGGGGGACATGCGCAACGAGGAGCCCCTAGGCCGAGGGCGGGCGACAGCATTCCGATCCGCAACAATGAGGCTAGCTTATCTCGCTGCGGACGTCCCGGTGCACGGATTCAGCGCAAACCGGCTGGCGAGGTTCATGGCTAAGCCAACAGTTGGGTCTTGGGCACGCTTGAAGAGATGCTTGAGGTACCTACATGGGCACGGCCGGTGGATCCAGCAGTTCCCTGTGCAGGACCAGCCGGGCAGGATCGACGTGTACGCCGACAGCGATTGGGCTTAGGATCTGGATCGTAAGAGTGTGTCTTGTGCGGTAACGATGCACGGCAAGCATTGCCTGCGAGTGCAGGTGGCGACCCAAACGGCCCCTGCCCTGAGTTCTGGCGAGGCGGATCTCGTGGCCCGGGTCAAGGGCGGCTCTACCGCCATCGGCATGGGATCGATGATCCGGGACATGGGAGGACAGGTGTCCATTGACCTCCACGCCGACAGCACGGCAGGCAAGGGCATCGCGTCAAGAGTGGGCTTGGGCAAGGTCCGTCATCTCGACACGGGCTTGCTCTGGCTACAACACCACGTCAATCGCAGAGACCTCAGGTTCAAGAAGGTGCACAAGGACGAGAACCTGGCGGACATCGGAACGAAAGCCGTCAGCGTCACCATGCAGGAGACCTTGATGAAGTTGATGAATTTCACAGAGCCCACAGGACAGCACCCGAAGGCACTGAGGGTTGCCGGAGAAGCGGTCGAGCCAGAAGCGGGTAGCACCGTGCTGGCCGACGAGCCCGACTGAGAGCATGCAGCTTAGTTGCCAGAATCGATCTGCGACCGTGGACGTTTGAGTCCAGAATGGCAGCGGTTCCGAGTTTGGCCTTTCCTGCGAAGACCGGATACGGCCAAGGAGGGGCGTTCGGGTTGAACCCTTGCCCCGGGAAGGAAGGTAGCATGTAGAGTAGCAGAAGCATCAATCCCATGAAGTGGGATAGCAGTTGGGTGTAGCATTGCATGCAGCACGGCCGATCGGCAGAGAGACTGACCGGAAACGCTTTGGCTCAAGAGCGCAAGGGAGTAAAAGCAATACTCCCTCAACACTCCCACATTCCGTGTATATGTTATACACATATATATATGTGTGCATATGTCTATATATGTACATGTGCACATGTATGTGTGTGCTTTTACCTCCCTCCCGCCCTCCCCGAGGGATCATCGCCTGCATGCTGCTGAGAAGAAAGGCAAAGGCTTACATGAAGCCAGGCGCCCCCCCACCTTTGTGCGCCTGCGGAGAGCAAAGTGGGCAGAAGGAAATGAGGCGTCGCGCGTTGGGTGCGTCGAGCGTCCTCCTCCTTTTCCTCCTCCTTTTCCTCCTCATCCTCCTCCCTGTCCGCCGTCTTTCAGGTTCCCTCTTTCCCCTACTCCTTCACCGTCTCGTGATCTTGATATTCCTCGCTCTCCTCGAGTAGCGTTTCCTTATTATCCTCCTCCTCCTCCTCCTCCTCGACTCCATTCTCATCCGACTTCTCCTTCTGTCAGTTGGGTGCTTCCCCATCTCCTCAGCTTCACCTATTCCGTCTTAGTCCCTACCTTCTTTATTTTCACGTTATCGCCATCCACCTGTTCTTTTTCCTCCGCATCCATCCTGCCCTTCATCCACCTGCTCATGCTTCTGTCGCGACTCCTTCCCCGAATCCGAGTGCATTTCGTCTTCCTTCGCCCAGCTCCTTACATTCCCCCTCCTCTACCTCCACATTTCAGTTCCCTCGACCTTCCTCCTCCCTCCCATCCCCGTGTGCCAGCTTGCCCGAGCAAAGAAAAGTAGTCCCACCCACCCCCTCGTCGGGCCCGGTGAGACGCGAGGCCGAGGCGGACACCGTCAGATCAGCCGCGCGCAGTCGCACCGTGACGAGCCGAAGCAGCCGCTGCGGGACGCGGCGGCGGGCTGCGTCGCGATCGTCGGTCGTCGTCCGTCATCGCTGTCGATTGCTCGTCACGGTTCGTCGACGTTCGTCCGTCGTCGTCGTCGTCCGTCGTCCTCGTCGGTCGTTGTCGTCCGTCGTCATGCGTCGATGTTCGGCGTCGTCGCGTCGGTCGTCGTCATCATAATCGTCGTTCCCGGTCGGAGTCGTCCGTCGTCGTCGTCCGTCGTCTTCGCCGTCGTCGTCAAGGGAGGCGATGGGAGGCAGGAGGAACGACGAGGGTGGCAGAGGAGGGAGCATCAGGGAGGAAGAAGGAGGGATGAGGAAAGGGGGGAGGACGCCAATCACCTCTACACGCAATCAGACCCTGATCCGTCCAGCACTGGGCACAGGATCGGAGCACGATTGTGTGTAGAGCACTGCCGCGTGGGCATTCGGGAGCTGCGGGGCCTGCTGCGCAGTGCCGTGCTCGGCCCCGCTGCCCAGCGATGCTCCTCGGCACGCGGGCGCGCCGGGAGGCTCGGTTTGAGGGCTGAAGCTGGAACTGAAAATGAGGCGCGCGCCTGGAAGGGCAGACGCAAGCTGAATCGCCCTCGCCATTTCTTCCCCCCGTCGCCCCTGCCCGTCTCCCCCTCCCCGAGCGAAGGAGAGCACGGGAGGAGGAGGGAGGAGGGGAACATGAGGGAGGTTGAGGAGATGGGATCAGGAGACGGAGGGAGGAGGAGAAGGAGGTAGCGAGGGAGACAGGAAAACAGAAAGAGCCAGGCAGAAATTGGGGTGGGGGGCGAGAAGAGATGGAGGAGATGGAGGAGGAGGAAGAGGAGGCTGCCTCTTCCCAGGCTCCCGAGTTGCCCATCCGGGGGCACGAACACTCCTCCCCCTCCTCCTCCTCCTCCTTCTCCTCCTCCTCCTCCTCCTCCTCCTCCTCCTCATCCTCCTCCTCCGCATGATCGCGAACCTGCAGCTGGGCCCACCTTCCGAAGGAAATGCCCAGACAGGTGCCGGCCCTTGGAGCCGACCGCAGGTTCAGGCACAGCCCAGCAGAGCCACGGCGAAGCCTCGGGCCAGGCTTCGCCGTATGCCGCGGCTGGCCTCACTCGCAGCCTATCGCCTACCGAGCTACGGTATCAGCGCAGCTGGTCGTAACTTCGCCAAGCGCGATGTGACGACCCCACCGCTAGGGGTGGGGAGGGGGGGCGAGCCCTGTGCCAGCGCGGAGGCCCCAGATCTGGACGCCCGAACGGAGCGCCGCAACGAAAGAGGTCTTACGCATTTACCCCGACTCTCACAATAGCGGTGAGGGGGCCAACAACTTGTTTGACGGCGCGCATGGGACTTTCCCCAAGAGCGATACGACCGATTCCTTGAGCGGCGACCCCATCGTGATCGTCGGCCCGCCGCGGCCCGTCTGGGTCCTCCTGAGCCCTGCGAGGGCTTTTGGGAACCCGCGGAAGTCTTCGGCAGCTTCCACTGACCTCGGGAGAGCATCCGATGACCTCGTTATCCTGCTCCTCTCCAGAGGCCTGAATTTGTTCAATGAAGACATGGGGCAAGTCATGTGGATCCTCCATTCTCCTCCTCGATCCGCCTCCTCCTACTCCGCTTCCGCCTCCTTCTCCTCCTCCTCCTCCTCCTCCTCGTCATCCGCTTCCTCCTCCATCTGTCTTCCTGATGAATAATTCATCTCGCGCCACCAGACGGTTCGGTGATCCCGAAGCTTCAAATCCCCAACTGGTACACGGATGGAGGGCAGGTGTTGTTCAAAATGTGGTTCTCGTTGGAGCGCCGAGTACATTCATCAAACTACATTCCTACAGCTATTAGGTTGCAGGGCGGATCGTTGTTCATCAAACTATGGCAACCTGCTTCGCACAGCACACATTCGTCTTAAACACTTCCAGCAGTTACAGGGAAGGAGGGGAGGTCGGTGTCAAAACGTGGCTATCCCTTCTTGGCGCCGCGCGCATTCGTCTTGAAAGCGTTCAACCTTCACCAGCATGGAGGCCAGTTTTTTCCCAACCATCCTGTGGTGTTGGGTCCTCGTTTTGAAGAGACGTCGCCCCGCGTTCTCCTCCTCTCCCCCTCCTCCCACTCCTCCCTCCTCCTCCCTCCTCCCCTTTCTCCTTGCGTTTCATCCACCCAGTTCAACGTTTCGTGGCCCCATATTAGGGAGCCCCACCTACGGTCCCAGTGCTACCGTCCGCATGCGTCCCGCACACCCAGTACAGCGTTTCGTGGCCCTCCTCCCCCTCCTCCCTGCGTTTCACCCACCCAGTACAGCGTTTCGTGGCCCCATAAGGAGCCCCACCGAAGGTCCCAGTGCTGCCACCCGCATGCGTCCCGCACACCCAGTACAGCGTTTCGTGGCCCTCCTCCCCCTCCTCCCTGCGTTTCACCCACCCAGTACAGCGCTTCGTGGCACCATAGGGAGTCCCACCGAAGGTCCCAGTGCTACCGTCCGCATGCGTCCCGCACGCCCAGTACAGCGCTTTGTCGCCCCATAAGGAGCCCCACCGAAGGTCCCAGCGCTACCGTCCGCATGCGTCCCGCACACCCAGTACAGCGCATCGTGGCCCCATAGGGGGCTCCACCGAAGGCCCCAGTGCCCCCGTCCGCATGCGTCCCGGAAGCCCAATTTGGCATTTTCACACACCCAGTGCAGCGCTTCGTGGCCCCATAGGGGGCTCCACCCAAGGCCCCAGTGCCACCGTCCGCACGCGTCCGGGAAATGTAATTTGGCATTTTCACCCGCGCAGTGCAGCGTTTCGTGGCCCCGTAGGGGGCTCCACCGAAGCCCCCAGTGGGACCGTCCGCATGCGTCCCGGAAACCCACTTTGGCATTTTTACTCACTCAATAGAGCGCTTCGTGGCCCCATAGGGAGCTCCACCGAAGCCCTCAGTGGGACCGTCCGCATACGTCCCGGAAACCCAATTCGGCACACCACACCCACAGTACATCGTTCCCCCCCGCCCCATAGGGAGCTTCACCGAAGCAGATATTCACAATTACGGTACCCACAACTGCATATGGTTGGGACCTTCGCCAGGATAATTTTCGAAGTGGGGTTATCGCATGAGACGTTCTCAGAATGCACGGCACGATGTGTAACATTGTGTCGCAGTTACACGGATCGGGGCCAGCTCATGTTCAAGATGGGGGTCTCGTTGGACAGTTCGTTTAGTTTTCGGGTCCTCTCGCACTCCTCGGGACACTTTCTTGTAACTATTGGGCTCTCGCCTGAACGGCAGGCCCGTGGGGGCCTTGGTTTTTAGCACGGGGTGAACTTCCGTGCTGGCTGCAGTGACCTTGTCAGAAGGGGAAGTGGAACGGGATGGTGTAGCACGGCATCGTGGATGCTTTTTGAGTTCATTATGGTCTTCCTCCGACTTCTCATCCGCTTCATCCTCGCCCACATAAGCCTCATCCGCCTAAGCCTCATTCATCCCCTCTTCGCCTCATCCACATAATCCTCCTTTGCCTCAAAATCCACCTAATCGTTTCGCCTAATCCATCTAATCCTCCTCCGCCTCATCCAGATACAGTGGATACCCACGCCAAGAAACACCCTGCTCGCCTACAGGGTGCCCTGGGTTTCGACGGCTTTGCTATGGAAAGCGCAACGCCCCAACACAAAAAATCAATGGACGCCATGGGGTCTTAGGGCTGGGTTTCTTGTGGAAGGGTTCTTGTGGACGAGCTCCTAGTGTAATCCTCACTTCATTCTCACCCACATCCTCCTCATCCATTCCCCCCCCGCGCCTCCGGCCCTCAGTCCTCTGTCCTCGGCCCTCCTCCCCGACGTTTCGGCCCTCGGCCCCTCCCAGATCCTCGAACCTCCGCCTCGGTCATCGTTCTCGGCCCTCAGCTCTCCTCGGTCCTCGGTCCTCGGTCGTCATCCGCCTCTTTCGCTCCATCCCTTCTCCATACGGATAGCTTCCCCCTTGTCGCACGCACCCCTAGACGTGTCGATATGGCGGGCTGGGCGTTTCGCCTGAGACTTCCTCGCCACGTATGGTCCTGAAGCTTGATATTCGCAACAGTTTCACGGATGGAGTACGGGTAGTTTTCAAAATGTGGTTTTGGGCGCCCTTCTCGGCAGTAGAACCAGCGAGGAGGCACCTCAAGACGACCATACCAAGGAGTTGGCGCCACTCGAAAATCGGGCAAGCCCGGGGGCTGCCCCAGCACACCTGGGGAGGGCGGCCACTCCAGGACGGCGCGCCGCTCGAAGCGCGCCCCGCGAGGGGTCACTCTCGCGAGGCCCAGCCGCCGCTGCCGTATTCACGCGGCCAGGCGAGCGAAGCAAGCAACCCGCTCAGATCGAGGGGCCCGCGCAGCGGCTCGCGGCGCGCCGCCCTCACCGGCGCCTGCGCCCGCCCTTGTCCCTGCCGCTGTTCTCCCTGCGGTTCTCCTGCGGCGGCGGGGGCTCGCTGTGCCCGTGCTCGTAGTCGCTATCTCGTGGACGGCGTGTCCACACACCCGGCCTGCACCAGCAGTGCAGTCGCCGCCTCCTCCTTCTCCTCCTCCTCCTCCTCCTCCTCCTCCTCCTCCTCCTCCTCCTCCTCCTCCTCCTCGTGGCTCCTCGGGCCCCTTCTCGCCGGCGCCCTCCTGCGCCGCCTCCTCCTCTGCGCACATTCGTTTGAAAGGTGTGCAGCAGCTTCGCGGATGGAGGGCGGGTCTTTTTCAAAATGGTGTTCTCGCTGTGGCGCCGCACACATTCGTTTCAAAAGTGTGCCACAGCCTCACGGATAGAGTGCGGGTCTTTTTCGAAATGGTGTTCTCGCTGTAGCGCCGCGCCCATTCGTTTTTTTAGTGTGGGACAGCTTCAAGGATGGAGGGCGGCTCGTTTTCAAAATGTGGCTGTCGCATCAGCGCTGCGCGCATCCGTTTGAAAATGTTGCCAAACATCTGAAGGGTTCGTATGGCCTAAATCATAGGAATTGTGTTCTCGCACGGTTTAGGAGACTCAGGAGGACGCAGCAGTCAAATTAGTTCGCGGTGTTCAAGTCCCCAGAACAGCCTTCTGGTACGATTGGGGATTCGCAGACAGCTGTTTTCTAATGGGTCATTTCCCGCGATGAGTATATGCTCGCCCTGGGGCCTGTTGAGAGGGAATTTGGAGGGAGGTGTATTTCAACATCGTTGGCGCGTCTTGGGTTTGTTCTGGTCCTCCTCCTCCTCCACCCCTGCACTCTCCTGGAGAAGATGGCCGAAAGTCTGCCGCTGCCCCACCCGCATCAGGAGCAGGCCCCAGCCGCGGAGCCCGCGCCCAGGGAGACAGGCCCGCGCGCTGGCGGGGGGCGCCGACGGGCCGGGCCGGACGGAAGCTGGCACGAGCGAAGCGGGCCAGGAACGAAGGGTGACGCCGGGTTCGAGGTTCGAGGTTTTCGGCGACTGGAGAGTAGCAGCCAAAGACCCACATTCTTGGAATTGTGCGACAGGGAATTTTCTTCCCCACATGAGCGTCTGCTAGTTTTCACCCGCCTGTGCCCTAAGCGGCCGCCCCTTCGCGGGCATACAGGCTTGACCTTGACCTTCTGTCGGTTGTCTGCGGTTGAGGAGCCTCGGGGTGCCTTCCACCGACCGCGCCTCGCCGAGGGCGTGCCTGAGGTGCCCAACTCGTGCCGGACGGCCGCCGAGCGGCCGAGTCGTGGCCCGGAAGCCAGATCCCGTCCATGTGGTGCAGGGCTCTCTGTCGGTGTTGCCGCGGACGTCATCCATTTGAGGGGAAAAGTCGCCCGCCCAGCAGCGGCCGCCGTCGGTCTTGGACAGCGTTTGCCCGTGAGCATCGTACATCTTGTTGTCCGTGCCCATTCCGTGTGGTTTGAAATCTGTTGCATGCAGCTGGTTTCGGCCCCGCCGCCGCGCCCCCCGTTCCTCGATACATTGGCGCCTCCAGCGCCCCGAACCGGCGAGACAACCCGCTGCGCTGATTCGCCCCCCCCCCAGATTTCCCTGCGTTCTACCCGTGGTTTCCCATGACTTCTCGCCTCCTCCTCCGCTTCCTCGTCTCACGGCTTGCTGTGATTTAGTTCGGTTGGGACGATTCTGCATTCAGGTGGCCGTCATGCTATCCTCTGTCTCACGCCGTAGCGCAGCTTCGCTGTCGTGCACTGCAGGGTTTAAGGTCGAGGTGGTCATTGGCTTCCCCAGACTTCGGAGGCCTCCAGGGACCTCAGGGACTTGGCACCGGGACTCCCTCGGACTCCCCCGGATTTCCTAACGCAGCACGAAGACCTTATGCGCCAGTAGACCACCTGGGGAGGGGGCTGAGGAGGGAAGAAGGGGTAAAACGGGGTTGCCTGACCTCGGGGGAGGTAGGAGGGAGGAAGGGGGGAGGAGGAGGTGGAGGAGAAGGAGGAGGAGGGGAGGAGGAGGAGGAGGAGAAAGCGGAGGCGGAGGAGGAGGAGGAGGATGAGGAGGAGGAGGAGGAGGAGGAGGAGGAGGAGGAGGAGGAGGGGGGAGGGAAGAGGGGGAAGAGGGCGCGGACGTCGTGACGGCGGGCGAGGCTCTCGCGCCTGAGTGGGCGCCTCCCTTCAGGTTGCGTGCCTTAGGGGGGGCGCTCGCGGGCCTGTGCCCCAATCGGGAGCACAAGCAAGTTCTGCACAGTCTGAACGTTTTGTTTCTTCCGCGTTGCGGTTGGAGCTGCCATCTGGACCCAAGAGATTGTCAGGGCAGCAAACAAACGCTCACCGCCATTCCACAGCATGTGGAGTCAGGACTAACTGGACAGAGGCCCGCATGGCGGCAACGGCATGGACAGCGTCGTTGGCCCTGCTGCTATTCAACCCGCTCTCGGCGAAACCCGACAGGCAGCAGGAGATCATCGAGGAAGCGGCCAACTTCGACGTCATCATACTCGCAGGTACTCAACGATGGCGCCGAGAACTTCATCCAGAACAGCGTCAAATTCAGGGAGCCAGAGTGTACGACGCAGGCTGGAGGACGGGAACACTCACTAACCGCAGCACGGGCATGATGATAGCGATCCAGGGCAAACTAAGAGGGGCGCAGGTGACCAGTGTTCTGGAACCTCCAGGAGAACTTTGCGGCAGAGGCCTCGCAATACAACTCATACAGTACGACACCCAGATCACGATCGTCGGATACTATTGCCCGCCGCAGCCCAAGACGACGGCAGACCGCAAGCAGTACTTTGCGACGGTGGCGAGATTATTCAAATGGATGGATGAGGTAGCCACCAAACGCCCCAGGGGCAGCCTTCTCTTCGCGGCAGGGGACCTCAACGACGGCATAGGCATCACGTGCAAGAACGAGCACCCGATGGGCGACTCGCTCGGAGCGGGCAGGGCGAAGGAGAAGCTACCAGGCGGAGCAGGACACAAAGCCAGACAGTACGCGGAGCGACACGGACTGACAGTCGCCAACACGACGGGCACATGGAGGCCCACCTTCTTCGGGAAAACGACGGCCAGCTGCATTGACTACATTATGATGCCGACGACGCTGGCCAACAGCATCATCTCTCAAGGACCACTCCTCCGCATGGGCACACGGCCACAACACATTCGGAGCAGACGACATCGTGATCACGTCCCAGTGCAGCTCACAGTGCGTATTCCACTTCGACAAAGAATACAAGCCCGACAACATATAGCACGATGGGATAAAGACAAATTGGCAGCGGCAGCACGCAAGGGACTACATGCAGAGTTATTCATCCAGGATCTGGAAGGAAAGATCGCGAACTACAACGAGCACGGCAAAGGCATAGACCAGCTGTTCCAGGACCTGAACCAGATGATCATCGAAGCGGCCCAGCAGTATTATGGACAGGGACAACAGAAACCCGAGGAGTACCAGATACTACGAGACAGACGAATGGAACTATTAAGAAAAAGAAGAGACCTTCGAGAGATACTAAGACGCGAGGGAGATTGCCTACTCATCACGATCGCAGACTCGACCAAGCTGGACACAGCCAAGGTGGACTACATCCCACGGGAAAACCCGACCAACAACCCCTACGCGCAGAACTCGGACCAGCCAGGAGCAGGAGACGAACCTGATCCCCGCCACCTACGACTGGAATACATCGAGGCTGAACTCAAGAACATCACTGCTACCTGTGCAGCCTGGCGCAAACTCGAGTACCAGCGGAAGACGGACGCCAGGGTGGAGGAGCTGTACGAGGCATGGGAACGACGAGATCTTGCGCGCGTGGGCCGACTGTCAAGATTGATTGCTGGTGGAAGATACGGACCACGCAAGCGCGACTACTGGACGATGGTCACGGCCAACCCCACGAAGCAAGAGTGGACCGAGTTCTGGCAGCTCCCAGGTGGATTAGGAGGCATGGAAGGCACAGAGCTGAATAGAGAAGATATTGAACATATTCCCATCGACGCGGACGAAATGGACTATTACGATAACGACATAGAAGAGCTTGTGGAGAAGGATATGGAGGGCATTACAAAACGGTTAAGAAAGGCTAAACTCCGACGTGCGGCACCACCGACAGCGGCCCCCAACGAACTATGGAGAGTGCTACTCTGTCAGACAGATGAACCACCTCAACAGCAAAGACAAGGACTGGGAGCACTCCAACCACTACCTCAGCCAGAAAGATTTCAAGACCTCTTCAGGGCGGCACCGGCGGCCATCAGGCTCAAGAACGCAACTCCAGTACGATGGCATCAGAGCGCGGCAACAGCAGTAAAGAAGAACAACAAAGCGGGCCCTGCAGGAAAAAGGATTTACCACATCATGGACCCGATTGGCAAGGCATTTTACTCGTCCTGCATGGCTCGAAAGAAGGCTCAGACTCACACAGACCAGGACTACGGCTTCATCAGAGGACGACGACGCGAATGGGGCCGTATTGGCGATGGCGGTCGTCGAGTATCGGGCAAGACAGGCAGGCTTCAATTACATCACGACGATGAAGGACATGTCAAATGCCTTCGCCAGCTGCGCGTGGACGGCCATGGACGAAGCCAACAAAAAGATCATGCCAGAGGACTCTACAGAGTTGGGAGCGCAACGATACCGACGAGCTACGTTTGTCATACCATGTCGCGATCAGGAGGAAGGGGTATGCATTGAACCACACTGTGGAGGACTGATTGGAGATCCGTACATGGTCAGTAACTTCGTGGCCAGCTTCTCGACGTGTATCAAGGACTGGACCGAGGACTGCAACACAGAGTTAAAGAACGATGATCTGTTGTCTGGGAGCTGTGAGATATTTTAACATCCAGTTTACTTGGGCCTGGCTAAGTATGCGGACGACCTTCGCAAGATCATCCTAGGCGACAAGCAAGCAGACGCAGCAGATCTGGCAGCGCAGGCACACATAGTGGACAACACGCTCAACCAGAGGCTTGACACGATCGGGATGCGCCAGAACACAGACAAGCAGGAGAACATCGTTTACTTCCGAGGACAAGGAACGGCCAAAGCACACCAGCAGCTCAAGACGAAGCCCGATTGCAAGCTACCTGGCAAGGTTGTTCCTCATGCACGATATCTCGGGCCACAGATCAGCCCGACACAGAACTATGGGGCAGAACTCAACAAGCGCATCGAGGCCATGAAAAAGAGTTACAACGAATGCGGCAGCTTCTGGACTAAAGGGCATATACCATACAGATGGAAGCGAGCGGTTCTCATCTGCAGGGTGATCCACACAGGCCTCTCGTGCATCGAATGCTTCTTGCCGACGCCCAGAGAGTGCCAACAGCTACAGAGCGCGATGGGCGCACTACTTCGGCGAGCCATGCGAGGAGGCGCCACGCGTCACAGAGACGGCAGCGTGCGGAGCCTTAGCACGCTGGAAGTATTTCGCTACTGGCAAATATTGCCGCCAGCGGAGGAAGCACTGGTGCGCCGACTCGGATGGTTCAAAAACATCCTTCGATTCCCTAGCAACCACAGGCAGTTGATCGTAGCACTCTTCGGGAGAGTCGAGTTCGAGACAAACGAAGACGAGGACAAACTCAGGACCGACACGGATCCCTGGGCTCAGAGGTTCTTGGAGGACGTCAGATACGCGCGCGGGGTCTCGGAGAGCTACTACAACACGCTAGGCGAGGGCGAGAACATCACGATAGATAGGCTCTTCACTCTAGATGTTAGGGAACAACTTTATCTACTGGGTGTTCGGGAAGTTCGGGCTGCAAAACTCGGAGTGGCAGTCCCCCCACCAGGCTACGCGCAGCAAGATGTCCAAAGAGAAGAGCTAGCACTAGAAGAACAGAAGCCATGGAAATGTGAAATTAAACACGGAGAAGAGGAATGTGGTCAACTATTCGCAAGCAAGAAAGCATTACACAGCCATATTATTCGTGCACATAATGTACACAACTTAGCAGCGATGATGACATCAAACAACGAGTGCCTGAATTGCCAGCAAGTATTTACAAGCAAAGGTACGGCATGGAAACATTTGGCAAGCAGTATGATCAAAGGAGGATGCAACAGAGACATAACAAAGAATCCATATGTTCCGACGAAACATTCTCCGCAATGCCCTCTCTGTAGTCATTTCTCTCTCGACAAGGGTGCGCAATTCATCCACTTACGTACGCATCTCCCGCGACAGCTCCTGCAGCCGCCAAGAGGTATACGCCACGTCGCCGTTCGACCAGAGGCCGCGGGGCCAGGCTCCACCAGGCCCAGCAGGAGGGGGCGCAGTACGACGAGAAGATCGCAGCCGCCAACGAGGACCAGTACAACGCGGACCAGCGGTCGGAGGCGGAGGCAACCAGCAACAGATCACGGAGCTCACGGCGAGGCTCACGCTCACTGTGGCACGAGAGCAAGCGGAAAGGGCGGCGGCAAGCATGCAAACGTGGGAAATCGCCACGAAGACGGGTATCGCTACCACGGCCCTCGGAGCGGGCAAGTACTACAACGACGAGGCGCAGCAGCTCCACCAGAGACAACGGGGCGGAGAACAAGTCGACCTAGGCAGCCTGGGCGGCCCGCACGTGAAGGCGAGGACGGAGACGCGCGCGCGCATGGGCAAGCAGCACGAGGAGGGCGGGCAGCTCAACGAGAGCCACTACGAGAACAACATTATGAAGAACGACACGGAGTTCAGGGTCAGGCGCAACAAGGGCGAGTTCAAGTTCGGAGAGAGCAAACACCAGCTATGCACGGTGCTGGTCAACCAGATCAAGAAGGAGGGCGCCGCTCGCAAGATCGGGACGGCACCGAGGGGCGCCCTGGAGAGGGAGCTTGGCCTAGTGAATGGATAGTCGAGATAGAGGAGGAGAACCGAGAGGATATGACCGCTCGAGATCGACACCTGAGAGATGATGAGGAGGAAAATAGTGTTCGAATTCGCCCAGTCCTCCCCCCGCAGCTTCCCCAGACCATCCCACGAGTTTTTGAGAATAGCGCCAGGTTCCGTGAGATAGTTAGGTCTGGACGTCTCCCGCCTCCCCCTTCTCAGAATGCGGCGCCCGAAACCTTCCAATTCGATGGCCCACGTGTTCCTCAGTATTTGCTTATGCACCGACCTCCCCCCACTCCCGAACCGAAGCGTAAGGGACGAGGTAAGGGTAAGCGGAGCCAGCGAAGCCAACAGCAGCAGCAGAGCGAACGACCTCCGTGAATGCGGGTGCCACCCTGCCCGCAGACCCCTGCGTGGGGGAGGTCGGTGCAGGTCGGGCCCGAACGTCCACTGACGTCAGCTCTACCAGTATACTCAGAGAACACAGCTAGGCCGTGCTTAGATTACGCAGCTACTCAGAGGTAGCCAGAGCGTCAGTCACCCAGGCATCGGCCCGACAGCTCGATCGATCGATCGATCGGTTGCGGTTGGAATACCCCATCTCAGAACCCAGTTGCACACGATGATAGCATGAGGCGATTGTTTATGGTGGATTCCCCGAGGTTCGCTCGCTCGCTCGCTCCTCCTCCTCATCGTCCTTTTCCTCCTATTCCTTCTCTTCCCCGTCCTCCTCCGTCCTCTGTACCCTCTCCCATCCTCGCCCCCCTCATCCTACTCCTTCCCCCCCCTCTCCTCCCCCTCCTCGCCCCCCTCCCTCCCCCATCTCCCTCCCCCCCCGCCGCCTCCCCGACGAGACGACGACAACGAAGACGACGACGAAGACGACGACGAAAACGACGACGAAAACGACGACGAAAACGACGACGAACACGGCGACGGCGACGGCGACGGCGACGGCGACGACGACGATGAAGACGACGACGACGACGACGACGGCGACGGCGACGGCGACGACGGCGACGGCGACGACGGCGACGGCGACGGCGACGGCGACAGCGACGGCGACAGCGACGACGACGGCGACGACTACGACGACGACCGACGACCGACGACCGACGGCGGCGGGCGGCGGACGAGGCAGACGGCGGCGGCGGCCCGCCGAGCGGCGCGGCCCGAGGCGGCCCGCCCGCCGGGGACCCCCGCGGCATCGTCGCGGCCAGCAAGCAGGCCGCCGCCCCGCCCCGCCCCGCGGCGGCGGCCTGCGCCTGCGGCGTCGGCGCCCTCGTCGGCGACGTCTTCGACAGGATGGCGTCGGCGCCGCCCGCGTCGACGGCGTCGTCGTTGTCGTCGTTCGTCGGTCGTCTGTCGTCGATCGTCGGTCGTCGATCGATCGGTCGTCGTCGTCGTCGTCGTCGCCGCCGTCGTCGTCGTCGTCGTCGTCGTCGTCGTCGTCGTCGTCGTCGTCGTCGTCGTCGTCGTCGACGTCGTCGTCGTCGTCGTCGGTCGGGCCCTCGTCGGCGCCCTTGTCGTCGTCAGCGTCGCCAAGGCCAGCAAGCGGGCCGCCCTCGCCTGGCCCAGCGTCGTCGGCCTGCGTCGGCGATGGCGCAGGGGCAACGCCAGGGGGGGATAGGCTCAAGGGGTGCGGTAAGACTTCCGAAGGTGTTCGAAGGCGTCCGCAAGATTTTGGAGGGTTTCGGGGCCCAGGATGGCTTCCATCAGATCAGTTGCGCCTCATCGAGCGCGTTCCAGGGATGCCGGGATCCTCCCGAAAGGGCGCTGCAGGCGTCAGTCATGGCCCGAAAACCACCCAGAAAACATTCAAGCGGCGTCGGACTGCATCGGCGTCATCGGCGTCCTCATTGACGACGTTCAGGGCAGGAAAAAGTACCCACATCGCTGCTCTTTCTGGAGAGCTCTCGTCGCACGGCTGGATTATCCTCGAAATCCTGGTCAGAGTTCATCCCGGGAGAGGTCCAAGTTGTAGCGGTGTGGGTGGGTGCCTTTCTGGTTATCCAGACGCGAACGACGTCGTCGTCGTCGGCAGCGGTGGCGGCGATCTCGTCGGCGACGTCTTCGTCGCGTTTCGTCGGCGCTGCCCTCGTCGACGACGTCAACGTCGTCGTCGTCATCTTTGTCGGCGTGCTCGTCGTCGACGTCGACGTCGACGCCGTCTCGTGGGACATGTATTCGGCGACGGTGGCATTGGCGGCTGCGTCGTCTTCGGCTTCGGCGGCGCCAGCTGAAGTTTGATGATCGAGGGTCAAGCTAGTTCATCATGGTCGGCCTCTGGAGAGTCACATTGGCATCGGGGCTGGACAGCGACATGATGTGAACTTAAAGATGCCGATGTACAGTTGTACCACCTAGTCGAAGCATGTTGCAACAATCGTGATGAAATGTTGCCGATTCTTGATATCGTTACAACATGTTCTTGATCTCAAGTGTGGCCGTAGGGTTCACATGTTACGTGCTGCAGTCCAGGAACACGTTGAAAGACGATTGAGTTGTGGAGGCTGGTATGGTCAACTGGAGCCACGTACATACGGTAAACGCCACGTTCTTACCTACCCACGCTTCACGTCAACAGGCATCTTAGATGTGAAGCCTCGCTCGAAGCCACCAGACCAGAATGAGCGGCTGAGCTCGCTTTCTGTCCACAGAAGCTGGCCGCTGGCAGAAGTCCAACGGCTAAGAGTAAGGCTAGATTGCCTTCGTTCCAGGTTGGTAACAGTTCTTCCTGTCATGGTGTTCACCCTGTCTTCAAGGGACTTGCGGTTTTGACGTTTGAGGCCTCCCCAACGGTTGCTTTGCAACCCCTGTACGGGGAACAGATTTTGGTTCAGAAGTACATGCCACAGACTCGCGTAGAGTTTGGGCCCGGCTGGGATCTTGAAGGCATATATCCAGACATGACAACCTATCACTCGCAACGCCCAATGAGCAGGGATATTCGTTAGAAGATCAGCGAATCAGCGATATACGTGAAATCGTGTTCATCAATGTTCCCAACCTGCACTTGCTCTGCAGGGGTTTGACTTGTCGAATTAAGCCCAAGACGCCTATGACGAACCACCGCCACCCCCTTGGTTCTGCGAAATGCCTACGTGGCCGAACCGTAAGTCAGAATTTGGCCAAGCTGTTGCGTGATGTAATGTTCCCCCAGCCGTTGTGGAAACCGTTATGGGGGCACACACACATGATAGAGGAACGAGCGAGCGAGCGAGCGAGCGGAAGCCGAGGGGCAGTTGGATCCAGAGCAGACGGGAGGCAGGCACACCCCTTAACTCCCCGCCCCAGCACCTACACGGTGGAGCCCGAAGGCCAGGGCCACCTTGCAAGCGCCAGGGAGGGGAGCGAGGCACACGCCTACCTCGAAGCAGGCCGCGCGGGCGGCCAGGGTGCACGGGGCCTGCGGCAGGCCCGTGCTCACCAGCACGAAGCCCGCCGAGGCGACGAAGAGCACCCATTGGGCTCCCAGCGCCACGAGCAGGGAGCCCCACCACACGTGGTGCAGCTCGAGAGCCACGAAACTACAGTACACGTGGAAACCGAACATGGCTTGGTAACACAACTCCACGCTCGAGCCGCACGGCAAAACAGGCTGGGCGCGCCCGCCACATGGAGGGACTAAGAGCCAGCGATGCTGCAACCCAAGGCCCTCGGACGGACGTCGCCCAACGGCGCGCCCGCCACATGGAGGGACCGAGAGCCAGCGCTGCAACCCAAGGCCCTCGGACGGACGTCGCCAAACGCCGCGACGAATTAGTACAATGCCTGGGCGTGGCCACACCAAGCCTGCCCATGGCAAGTCAATAAAGCAAAACGAATTGATGAGGCACGCGATGATCAAACGCCACATCCGTACCTCGATCAGAAAAGACAGTCTCCCATGAGGATCAATCTCCACACGTGAGCGATTACTCTGACTCCTGGCCTTCATCTTCATCATCATCATCATCATCATCATCATCATCATCATCATCGTCATCATCGGCGGCACGTCCTAGCTCCACTGCATCCTGATATTCAAGGCCGCACGCTAGGATAATATTTGAAGTGTCCAGGCGCCGCTGTTTCTTCAACGGAATCTGCGTCGAGTGAGTCTTCACCTCGAGCTCCCATTTCTTAGCAGCTCTGGCCAGATCCCTGGCAGGACCCGAAGGGGACCGCGGAGACCCCAGGCGGGCATCAGCACGAATGGACTGGGGATGCTTGAGATTGTCCAGGTGTCTGCGGTTTTCGACCTCCCTGCCGCCACCATGCTTGCCTTTGCACTGTTGTGCCAGGCCACGATGGTTCTTCGAGTCAGAGCAGAAGTACTGACAGCAGGTCGCACAACATAAAATTACCCTGGCGACGTGCCCAACCCCTGCGCAATGCGGGGCATGAGAAGCGTGGGAGACGTCATACGGAGGTGGTACCGTCCCATGGGCGCATATATTTCTGCGAGCGGCATTCGTGAGGCTCGCAGCCCCCCCCAAGAAAATGCAATGTCTCGTTCAGATCTGCGCGGTGCCTCGCTCCGCTGAACCCGCCACCAGCCCTCGAAAGTTGCGACTGTTTCGCAGATCGCAGCCCCCCAAGGACGGCGATGCCCCGCTCAGATCTGCGCGGTGCCCCATTCCGCTGGACCCACCAGCAGCCCTTTGGGGGGCAATTTCTCAAACCGCAGCCCCCCAGGCACGGTGCGGTCCCGCTCAGATCTGCGCGGCGCCTCACTCCACAGGACCCACCAGCAGCCCTCGAAAGTGGCGACAGTTTCGCAGATCGCAGCCCCCCAGGCACGGCGAGGTCCCGCTCAGATCTGCGCGCGGCCTCGCCCCGTTGGACCCACCAGCAGCCCTCGAAAGTGGCGGTCTTTTTCGCAGATCGCAGCCCCCCAGGGACGGCGAGGTCCCGCTCAGATCTGCGCGGTGCCTCACCCCGCTGGACCCACCAGAAGCTCACGAAAGTGGCGACAGTTTAGCAGATCGCAGCCCCCCAGGGACGGCGAGGTCCCGCTCAGATTTGCGCGGTGCCTCACTCCGCAGGACCCACCAGCAGCCCTCGAAAGCGGCGACAGCTTCGCAGATCGCAGCCCCCCAGGGACGGCGAGGTCCCGCTCAGATCTGCGCGGTGCCTCACTCCGCAGGACCCACCAGCAGCCCTCGAAAGCGGCACAATTTCGCAGATCGCAGCCCCCCCCAGGCACGGCGAGGTCCCGCTCAGATCTACGCGGTGCCTCACTCCGCTGGGCCCACCAGCAGCCCTCGAAAGTGGCGACAGCTTCGTAGATCGCAGCCCCCCAGGGGCGGCGAGGCCCCGCTCAGATCTGCGCGGTGCTTCATTCCGCAGGACCCACCAGCAGCCCTCGAGAGTGGCGGCTTTTTCGCAGATCGCAGCCCCCAAGGGACGGCGAGGCCCCGCTCAGATCCACACGGTGCCTCACTCCGCAGGACCCACCAGCAGCTTTCGAAAAAGTGGCAACAGTTTCGCAGATCGCAGCCCCCCCCCCAGGGACGGCGAGGTCCCGCTCAGATCTGCGCGGGGCCTCACTCCGCTGGACCCACCATCGAACGCGGCGACAATTTCGCAGATCGCAGCCCCCAGGGACGGCGAGGTCCCGCTCAGGTCCGCGCGGTGCCTCACCCCGCAGGACCCACCAGCAGCCATCGAACGTGGCGACAGCTTCGCAGATCGCAGCCCCCCAGGGACGGCGAGGTCTCGCTCAGATCTGCGCGGTGCCTCATTGCGCAGGACCCACCAGCAGCCTTCGAAAGTGGCGGCAGCTTCGCAGATCGAAGCCCCCCAGGGACGGCAAAGTCGTGCTCAGATCTGCGCGGTGCATCACTCCGCTGGACCCACCAGCAGCCCTCGAAAAAGTGGCGACCGTTCCGTATCCCGGGCACGGCGAGGTCTTGCTCAGATCTGCGCCGTGCCTCATCCCGCTGGACCCACCAGCAGCCCTCGAAAGTGGCGACAGTTTCGCAGACCGCAGCCCCCCAGGGACGGCGATGTCCCGCTCAGATCCGCGCGGTGCTTCACCCCGCAGGACGCACCAGCAGCCCTCGAAAGTGGCGGCAGTTTCGCAGATCGAAGCCCCCCAGTCACGGCGAGGTCTTGCTCAGATCTGCGCGGTGCATCACCCCGCTGGACCCACCAGCAGCCCTCGAAAGTGGCGACAGTTTCGCAGATCGTAGCCCCCCCCCCAGGGACGGCGAGGTCCCGCTCAGGTCCGCGCGGTGCCT